GACTTTAGCCTTTTAGATGTTTGACTTTATTCACAAGCCAGCTAAGCTAATATATTATCTTTCTGCCATGTAGCACTGAGAAGAGTAAGTCAGTTTGAAGCATACAGTAAATGTAGGTATTTAAATCCAAAACAATGAGCTACAAGAGGCTAAAAAACAACTTTGAGGTGCAGAGCTGGGTGATCAATTTTTGTAGGTGTGCAATTATCGGTGACCCCCTCTCACCTTAGTGTACACATATTGATAAGGGATTTTAAAAAATTATCAAATTATTTTGTACAGTTTTATTTAAACTGTATATTTATTTAATTTAGCAGGGTCAAAATCCAAATAAATTCATACGTTAATTATTACTGCATGGTTTAAATGCTCACAAACTCAATCCTCAGATAAAAATCATTTGAAAATGTGCAACCTTGTTAAAAATGTGTATATTACAGCTTTTAATTGGCTTACCTGTGGAGGTAGTAACTCTGGAGGATAGTGTGGATTTGTTTGGCGTAGGCTAGAGCATCATGTGGCAGGACTAATCAGCACGTCTGCCACAAACAGTTTTAGGTGATTATTCATATCCAGTGTCTGGCTATCCACAACACATTTCATGATCCCATAAGCTATTTTGAACTCATTACAGATATGAAAGGGATAGGACTGCAAACACACGACTGCTTTGTGCCAATATGAACTCCAGTGAATCATGTGTGGATGATAGTAACAGTCCTCTGCCAGCAATTCTTTTGTGTAATGGGCCTAAAGTGAGAGGATACAGCCAAGGTTTGATTTGCAGTTTCATGTCATATTTGTATGCAGATTGATTGTGGTTTACACTTTGGACTAACTCAGAAGCCATATACAGTCATCATGTAATCCAGTAACATCCGCAACAAAATAACAGGGACAACCAATGATTGTATTTTAAGAGCATGTGGCTCTGTGCTTAGAAAAAAGAGAAAAGATAAAGTGCTGTATAAACCTATTTTGAAGGAGATAGGGATGCTCTAACATATCACTGTCATGACGTTGTTTATCAAAAAGACCAATCATTATCAGCCCCATATCAGTAGCCATATATGGTACTCTACTGTGTTACTATTTTTCATGAAGTGATATGATTTTGCTTCACATCCACATTTGAAGTTTATTTCACTTTATTTGATTGTTGAATCAAACTTTGCATGAAGATGAAATCTACCTTTTTATTTTCTTTTTTGATTAACTACGTTGTCGGATATAAACTATTTTTAATTCAAAATTTCTCCAACATCCTGATAAAATCTTAAACATTCCAGATAAAATGATTGTTCACGAGGTGGATGCTTGATTCGATGCACAGTTTCTAATAAAACACATATCATTTCAATTCTTTATATCTAGTTTGTGCCATGCTTTTGACTTAGAGCCTGACTTGTGATTTTTGAAGCTGATATTTGAGAGTATTTGAAATACACTAATGATATATTGGCAGTTATTGTCCCACGTTTTAAAAACTCAGGTTTGTCTTTTTGAATTATAAAGCAGGTATACGTGCAATATTAACACTGTGATAGTACTGAAACACCGAATCAACAGAGAAATGCTCACAGACCATGTAAAGAAATCGTTGCCTTTGAATTAGCTGTCAGGCCTTCCGTAAAGTTGTGATGTCACAACTATACTGTGTAAAGTTAGAAACTGCTGCTACATTGCCGTTACAGTCATTCCCCAGCTGCAATGACAATGCAGACATGCTAAGAGCACATAGGTGGAAGACCCAGAAACACTGACCAATCAGAGCAGAGGGGAGAGGGGCTTAAAGAGGAGGAAGCATTATGTTTTTGGGTTATCTGTACGTGATATCTCAAGAACGCCTTGAGGGAGTTTCTTCACATTTTGCACAAATGTCCACTCGGATTCAAGGCTGAACTGATTAGATTTTAGTGATTGTAAGTCAAAGGTCAAGGTCACTGTGGACTTGTCTGTCATTCTCCCAAATGTGATATCTTAAGAACACCTTGAAGAAATTTTTATCTAATTAGAGACAAATGTTTAATTGGACTCAGCTATGAACTGATCAGGTTTTGATGACCAAAGGTCAAAGTCACTGTAACCTCATCTGCCTCATTCTTATTAATGTGATATCTCAAGAGCAATTTGAGGGATTTTTTCAAATTTGACACAAACATCCACTTGGATTTAACAATGAACTAATTGAATTTTTAAAGTCAAATGTCAAGGTCACTGTGACCTTGCATTCATCTCAATTTTGTGAAAGCAATAACTCAAGAAGGCTTTGAAGGAGTGTCCTCAAATGTAGGACAAACGTCCACTTGGACTCAAGTCATTGTGACCTCACAAAACATGTTTTTGGCCGAATTCCAACACTAATTATGACAAGATTTCACACATATGTCTAATAGGATAAAATGATGAAGTAATGACATATCATATCCAAAGTTCAAAGATCAACCTCACTGTGACATCATAATGTCCTTGCAAAAACACTTTTCGGGCCATTATTCGATGTAATAACTCAGGAACAGGAGAGGAGACATTTTTTTCAGATACTGAATTGATGTGTGTGAAGCATTCAGGTTTTTAAAAGACATGGATGTAAACTGTAACTGCAACTTGACATACAATTAGGGCAGTAATTCTACTTTGAACATTAAAGCATGTATACATGTTTTAGTAGAAACCCAATATAAAAGTATGAAACTGAAAATGAGGATAATATGGGACCCTTAAACATATCAGTTTGGCTAAACAAACTTTTTTGGCGTTACTTATCAGCTGACTCATATGTTGGTAACAATAAATCAGTTGTGAAAAAATATTTAAGAAAACACGAGTGTAATGAAACTTACAGTGTTCAAAAAGTTCCAGCTTTAAAATACAAATAACCCCATGAATTCGCAACAGCCCAGTCAGATCATGGGACCGTGAGTGAGGCAGCTCAGCCCCTCTTCAGCAGGAGAGGATGCTGTCAAGCAATGCTTTAACGCTGCCAGGGACTATCATTATGAGTGTGTCCGTAAAACCCACAGAAAGCCCTGTGGCACTGAGCTGTAATGCAAAGCTCGCTGAAGTTTCATTTTCTGGCCTGATCTTTCCACCACTCAAGCGCTGCGCTGCACAGACCCCAGTGTGAGGTCTCCTTTTCTCTGAGCTCCATCGCCTCAATCCACAGCCGACCCTGTTCATCCACTCAAAGGCTGCAGCCTGACAGAAATCAATACTGATGGATGTGAGGTGTCTCGCAGGACTGCTTACATGCATGTCTGGAAATCTTCATAATTGGAGATCATTTACAATTTATTCAAAGTGTCAGATTGGAGCATTTAAAAATGAGTCATAGACTGCATGTCTGAGCAGATTTCAAGACAGTTGAGTTCAACTGTTGAATTTAAGTGTGCAAGAGAATCCGTGGTAGTTTCAAGCTACTGTTTCAAATTGGACAGTGACAAAAGATCAGACATCTAAATTAGATTTATTTGATTGCAGTACCAGGAGCAGTGCACTCCTGTAGAATTACCCTGTCACAGCTATACCTTGTCCAAGAGGGACAGATGTGGAATCAATAAACATGATTTGGACCGAAGTCTCTGTCAGGAAACTTGATTTAGAACAGCCTTTTTTGGCAGCTGTGCACTCTGCAAAGCATGTGAAGCTACAAACAAAGGCATGAAATGTCTTTCAAGGTTTGTGGATTTTAAGTTGTTTAAAGTTAAATAACTAAAATCAAAAGTCTTTCAAATGTTTCATGGTCACATCATCTTGGCATAGAATAGCAACATTCAGGTGAGAGAACAAGATCAAAACCCAATGTTTGCAACAAGTCATAATTTTAACGTCCGCACAATGTAGAATGCTAACATCATCTATAGTATAATAATTTAAAAAAACAAACACCAAAAGCACTTTCGGTGGTAAAACAATTCAAGATGGTAAAACAACTGACAATCAAAATTTATCGTCAATTGTTTGTCAATTGTCCTCATGTAGCCTATGCTGTTTTTTCATCACCTCACACCTACATGATGTGCATATAATTATTCCCTCTCAACACATTATTTGATATTTTCCCATAACACATTCACATTGTCTTGAATCATAAACAAGCAGTCTTTTCTGGCTGCCATCTTTGTTTGGTTTAGGAAAAAGAGTGGGAAAGGAATCAACAGTCTTCTTTTTTGTTCAGAATAAGCTATATAAGAGTTGCTATAGAGGAATCTGAATGTCTTCAAACAGGAGGCTTGCATGTTGGTGGTGTTGTTGAATCACCCGTGAGGTTACTTAGGAATGGCGTATTATCTTTAAACAGATGCTTCAGTCTGTGACTCAAATGCAATCCTCAGTGTAAAAATCTCGAATGAAAAAAAAACATGACAGGCAGAAACTGGGGCTGATAGAGGCTTATTATCTCTGGTTGCACAAAGAAGAGAAGCAGTAATCTATTCTTGTGCAAGAGGTAGCTTCGTTGTCATAGCAACTGATATCCATTTTTATCCTCCATCTGACAGGTTGAGTAGGCGGGACTTCCGACTGTCCAGGCACTTCCAAAGATAATAGCATCTCAAGATACTCATTCTCCTACGATGCTTTGAAGTGTTGTTTCAAAAGTTTGCTTCTCCTATATTATTATATTATTCCAAATGTAGTCCCTCAGGTCAATGACTCCTAACCGAATAAAAAGACAACTATATTTTGACTACACACAGGCTGTTGCAATGTCTAGCCATATTAGCATTTAAATAAATCACTACAGAGATGACTGACAGCAGTTCAGTTAGCTTAGCAAAGCTCGTTAGCATTACAGTAACATTTTGATACATTACAGAGCGACAGTGTCACAGTTTATGAAGAAGCCATAATGAGGGAGAGCATTGATAAATTACTCGCTTGCTCAGACCGGCATGGAGGAAAAATATAAGCTGCAGTAGAGAGTCATCTTGTTGCTTTTATCATCTCTGGTTCGAAAAATCAACGACATTACCCAGAAGCCTTTGCCGGTGAACTGTCACCCAAAATGTCTGCACCCTTACCATCCATGAACCGGGGTTATTACAGGACTGTTTACTTTAGAGATAACGTTAGGTGTATTTTTCATCGCGTGACAGTCCACTGACTTAATGTGGCAATAGTCTACATGTTATTAATGTGAATGCAGCAGTATTCCACAGCTAGCTAGCTAGTTAGCTAACGCCAGCTAACAGTCATTTATCCTTCATGCTGTAAGGAAAATTACTGGGTAGCTTAAGGGAAACATGTCGCTGTCTCTGGTGAAACGGTGGTGTGAGACACCACTAATAAGACGGGTTTTACAGTACAAAGTGTACAGAAGGAAAATACAAAGCTACAACATGACCTACACACTGTTAAGACACCGCTGGATGAAAAGGCTGCCCGTGTTCTCCAGCTGCTTCAGGATGGTCAGCACACAAACAGACAAGGTAACGACAACATGTAGGACAACAGTCTGTTCAGGTTTAACTGCAATACTGGGAAACATTAGGTCTGTGTGAATAGCTTGTCGTTTATAATTCTCTAACACATTATTGTGATAGATAGATAGATAGATAGATAGATAGATAGTTGACAGTGCAGGTATTTGCAATGTAAAGTGATTAGATATAAGTGTAAGAACAGTGCAAGAACAATGAATACTATACTGTGGATGATACAGAATTAAAAGTGAAGATAAATAAATGAACAGATATCAATGCAAATTAGGGGTGAGGGGGAAAAAATATATGTGTATATATAATATATGTAGATTATATGTATGGCCAAGTTTCAGTGTATTTTTATTGTATAAATTACAAATACAAATTACACTTTCAGTAGTCTACTAGAATAATACAATCTTTTTTTTCAGTCCACTAGCTACAGTTTGATGTAATAAAAATGACTGAAGTGAGATGAGAAGACTGAAAAATGTATCTTATTAGATAAAACAGATCTTGACAAAGTTTTCCTTTGAGGACATAATTAGCAGTTGAAAAAAGGGTGACAAATCACAATATGTGTTATCACAATACTCAGCATATTGCAACACATTTAAAACTGCAATAATATTGTATTGTAACTTAAGATTGGGGTGGTGGGGCTACTGGTGATTCCTACCCCTAATGCAAATACAGATTGTGCATAAGTGAGATGTGACTTACAGTTCAACTAACTTTTTTTGTAAAAGGTGATTAAAAGTATGAATGGTGTGAAATAAGGAATACTGGAAAAGATAAAATGCAAACAGAAGGTAAGGTTATATAAATAAATGTATTTTATGCAGCTTTATATTCCCACACAGCTACATCTCACAGGCAAATATTGTGCATTTTATTCCACTACATTTGTCTGACAGCCTAAGTTACAATTTGTCGTACCCTTCTTGTCCAGTGTAAACCATGTATCTTCAAAGTCAGTGATTTTAAATGCAAAAAACGGAAGCATAAAGTGTTTGTGGATTAAGAACATTCTACCACTTAAGCTAAAGAAAACTACTTACCATTTTTCTGCCAAATGAATACTTTTACTTTTGACCTTTATAGTAAATTTTGCTGATAACATGACAAGTAAGGTTTTGAATGCAGGACTGTTAGTGGAGTATTCTCACAGTGTGGTATTTATCACACTACTTTTAGTTTAGTAAAGGACCTGAATACTCACACTGCTGAGCTTTGGCAGAAGAAGAACAAAGTACATTTACAATTACTCAAATATGAGGTACTTTTACATTACTTGAGTATTTTAACCTTATGCCCTTTCCTACTCCACCATACAGGGAAATATTTTACTTTTTACTCCATTGAAATTATTTAATAACTTATAACTAATTATTTTAATTTCTAGTTACTTTACAAATTTAGATTTTTGCATACAAATTGTAGGAAAATATGCAAGTGCAGCTGAAAGGATAAATTATTGAGTAGAAAATTAATTGGCAACTATTTTGATAAGCCTTTAAGTCATTTTTCATTCAAAAACATTTCGTGGTTGGACTTGCTGCTTTTCCTAATTATTGTGAATTGATTAAACTGATTACATTTTCTCTGCATTGAGTACTTTTACTTTTAAAACTGAAATCCATTTTCCTGATTGTACTTAAATACTTTTACTTAAGTAACATTTTTAATGCAGGACTTTTAGTAGTAACAGAGCATGTTTACAGTGTGGTACCAGCACTTGTACCTAAGTTAAGAATGTGAATACTTCCTCCACTACTGCTGCTGAGAGTACACCTAAACCGGGTTTTTTGCCTGATGAAGGTCTAGTACCGAAACATCGTAAATAAATTATTTAATGTGAGTTAGACAGTGTGCGGGAGTCCTTTTGCAACTTTTTGGTCTTCTCTCTCCAACGCACCTGTCCTTTTTTAATAGATGTGCCAAGTGTTACCTTTGCCCTAGTACACCTAAACTTAACATTTAAGAAGTGCTGAGAAACCCAAATTCATAAATTTTCTCCACTTGTGGTTCTGCACAGATATGAACATAATTACTGATCCATCCAAATACTGCTATTTCTTAAAGCTGGGTTACTGTAACAATCAGCAGTTGTTGGGTGACTGTCATAGTAATTTGCAGGCTTCTCTCCTTTTGCTTTTAAGGACACTATTGACCTGTCAAAGTTCCCTGTGGAGAGAATCAGAAATTTTTGCATCATTGCTCATATTGACCATGGGAAAAGCACTCTGGCGGACAGGCTGTTGGAAATGACAGGTATGTTTCCTCATCACACTGCACATCAGCTTTATTCCCCCCTTATGCTAGTCCTACACCAAACGACTGTTCAAGTGATTTCACCATCGCAGATAGATTTCCAATATTGAAATAAAGTCATAAAAGTTTTACCCCAATACTGCATTTCAATGACACTGCAGCACCAAACAGGAAACCAGGTAGACAGTAAACATGGAGGGGAGCCGAGGGAGGCGTAAGAATGTTAACAAAACTCAGGTCACTTGCACTGTGGAAAAGGAGGAGAAATTGGTAGAGTTGTGGAGTAAACAAGAGTGTTTAATTCAGTATGTATCTGATCCACCAACCAGTACTTATCTTAGTGAGAAATCTTAATTTTAGACACTGTTCGCAGCTCAGTCCCCTCCCACTAAAATAGCGCGGCGAAACAACAGAGGCTGGTAGCAATCTGAGGCGACATAATCCAAAATGAAATGTTTGAACACCAATACAGTTTATCTTTATGGAGTTATGAGTTTTTATAGACACGTGAGGAATTGTTAATGTTTCATATATGTTTAAGGGAGTCTGCCATAACATTTTCCACCAGGAGCAGGATGGGAAATAATCTGAAAAGGATCTAGTTGTAGTCTTGCAAATAGTGACCCTGCAACACCCCCAGTCTTTGCAAAATCATACAGTGTGTGACTAATAATCTACATTGTCTTTAGATGTGAGAGGGTGCAGATTTTTAGTCTTTTAAAAGTGTATGGTAGGTGTAATCAACATTTTTCATGAAGATTTATGATAATCTCAAACAGGTTTAAGCAAGAGAATACATTTGGGTTTAGGTCTGAACACATACTGATGGTATGGTATGGTAATGTGAAAATCTAATGTATCAGGATCAGTAATTGGATTGTAGGCTCCCTGCATTAATTAGTGGCACTGTGATCTGTGTGGCTATTTATATGGTTGTTAATGACATGATTATAAGAGCTTGCATCTCTCTCCTCTCTCACTCACTCACACTCACAGTGTCAATGATTGGGTCACCATTTAGGTTCAGACAGAGCACACTGAGTTACTCATATATTAACAGCTGATATATGAGTTACTCATATATCAGCTGTTAATGAAATTATTACAATGAACCCACTGTGTTACTAATGGGTGTCACTGACAAACAGGTGCCATAGCAAAGACAGAGAAGAACAAGCAGGTGCTGGACAAGCTTCAGGTGGAGCGAGAGAGAGGGATAACGGTGAAGGCCCAGACAGCTTCACTGTTTTACAGCCACCAGGGACAGCAGTACCTCCTGAACCTCATCGACACCCCGGTAAGTGCTCTGCTGGGTGTGATCATGTCAGGAAGACGCTCATGTTTGCTTTGTCTTCTCATCACTGTGGCAGATTTTATGTGTTTCCCCATCATAACTGAAATCACAGTCAACTAGAATTATTGCTGTGCAGTTGTATGGCTCTGCCAGTCAGTCAAGTTACACTTTACATGTCTGTCCAGACTCCTATGAAGCTATGACAGTAGACAGTGTTTCATGTCTATCATCCAAAATATTAATTCCACTCTCGCACTAAAGCCAAAAAACCCATCCGTTCAGTGTGAAAATAGGTCTACAATTCAACTGTCAGTGTCCTGTCTAACAGTTTTTTAAATCTTTCCCTCTCTGCAGGGTCACGTCGACTTCAGTTATGAAGTGTCTCGATCGATTTCTGCATGCCAAGGTGTCCTGTTGATCGTTGATGCCAATCAGGTACAAAAACAGATTCGTTGCCCCCAGTTTTCAAAGTGAGTTGTTGTGGAAGTACATGGTGAGTGTGATGCAGTTGTTAATATTTCGCATTTCCTGTAAAGGGGATTCAAGCGCAGACAGTGGCCAACTTCTACCTGGCTTTTGAAGCTCAGCTGGCAATCATCCCTGTCATCAACAAGGTACACTGAGACCGACATGTCTTAAGTTTAATCACATTATTTTTCTACCTGACTGCCATTCAGCATGCCTTTCTAATTTGACATTTCTCCCTCAGATTGATTTAAAAAATGCGGATCCAGAGAGAGTGGAGTCACAGATTGAAAAGGTGTTCGATATTCCACGTGAAGAATGCATTAGGGTGAGTTGGAGCTTATGTCAGCTGCCTTTTAGTTTTCAGTATCGCTTATCTGATAAACTTTTTCTTAATTTGTGATTTCATTTTTTTCAGATTTCAGCTAAAATTGGAACAAATGTAGAAAAGGTTCTCCAAGCAGTTGTGAACAGAATCCCACCGTAAGGAGGTTCATTTGGTTTCATTTCTCACATTAAATCATGTTTGATGCATAAAAGTGAAGGTTTTTTTTTTTTTTGTACTTGTATTCTCAGGCCGGCTGCGAGTACTAATGACCCCTTTAGAGCCCTAGTGTTTGACTCCAATTTCGACCACTACAGAGGAGTGGTGGCCAACATCGCTGTGTTTGGAGGTCGGGTCCGGAAAGGGGACAAGATCGTGTCGGCACATCTCGGCAAAACCTACGATGTCAATGAGCTGGGGCTTCTCCGGCCAGATGAGCACCCAACACAGAAACTGTACGTGCCGTTCTTTCTCCTCTCGTGTCATTTCTCTCACTTGTTTTCTCATCCAGCACTGCTGATACTGGGGTCAGAGCTGAAACATGGTGTTTTATGCACCAGTTGATTCTCTGGTCCTCTGATTGGATCATCTATGTAGCGTCTATGTAGATAAAAGGAACTGTCTCATATATCTGTTGAAGGTTGTTGAGAGCTGAAGACACAGTATGAAAGAAAGTGTTGTTCTGCTATGCTGTGATGATTTTAAAGTATATTAATGATTAAAAAAAGGATGCCGTTTTTGCTGTGCTAGATTCATAGTGAAATTTAGCATAGGTTCATTAAGATTCTGTATTATTCAAAATTTGTCTTGCACTGCAATGGACCTAAAAGTTCAGAACCATCCAAATCTGCTCTTAGACATGTGTGCCAAACGATGAATCGCACTTGATCATAAGCAACCTATTAGCATAGGTAACACCCCCTAAACATAATACTAAGGCAGGTGTTGTGCCGTGTTCAAATACTCTGGCACCAGATGCTACCAAAAAAGGCTATATCAAGAAAAAGAATGTGAAAGAAGTGAAATCAACGTACTGTTAAATAAACTTAAGAGGCGTGATTTTTTTAAGTGCTGGTGTTACAGTAAATTCAAAAACCCCGGGATGGCCAAACATTTGTGATGCTGTAAATGCCACATCAGCAGCACTGTTGGAGGAAGTATTCAGATTCTTTACTTAAGTAAAAGTACTAATACCACACTGTAAAATACTCTGTTTAGTAATAAGAGTCCTGCATTGAAAATGTTACTTAAGATAAAGTATGTAAGTAAAATCAGGAAAAATGTATTTAATTTTTAAAAGTAAAAGTACTCGATGCAGAAAATATTAAATTAGTTTTATCAGTTCAAAATACTTAGGAGAAGCAGCAAGTCTTTATATTTGAGAAGCTGAAACCATGAAATGTTTTTGAATGAAAAATGACTTAAGCAATTATCAAAATAGTTGCCAATTAATTTTCTGATCTATCGATTAATTGTTTTGGCTGCATGTTTTTATACAGTTTGTATGCAAGAATCTTAATTTGTGAAGTAACTAGTAACTACAGTTATCAAATAAATTTGGTGGAGTAAAAATTACAATGTTTATCCGAAGTGTAGTGGAGTAGAAGTAGAAAGTGGCATGAGATAGTATTACTCATGGAAAGTTCAGGTACCTCAGATTTGTACTTAAGTACAGTACTTCACAGAGGGATGCAGAGTAACAAAAATTATAGTAACTGTAAGAGGTAAGTGGACCAATAACATTTCTTTACACACAAATTTTCATAATCAGATCAATATAATTACTCCACAACATACATACAAACACATACAAAATAGTAATCTAAATGTGATTATGATTATTATTATTATGATTATTATTATGTCATATGATCCTCAAATTCAAAACTCATTTTTCCTTGCATTGACCAAAAGTTTTTGGACTGTAAAAGCCAGTTGTTTTTCTCTTAACTGGGTAAGAGTGCTCTTTACATCTTATAAAATGTTCTGAAATAAGAAAACATTAAATCCCAGAATCAATGGGTACTAACAAAATATGAACAAATGATGGTTACAAACAAAAAAAAGAGGACATTTGTTTGTATGTCTCTTCCTGCAAGAGGCCCAGTGTTTGAAATCTGATTTTTTTTTCCCTACTGCAGCTGTCTTTGAATAGTAAGCCAGCCCGCTGTGCTGTATGTGTACAGTTTAATTAGTAATAAGCACTAGTCCACACACTGTTGGTAAACACTGGAATTTGTTGAGCATTCATCCAACTGTCCACTGAGATGCTTGTTTACGTTGCATTAGTGTAACTCTCCTCGACTGCTGTGTAGGTTTGCAGGCCAAGTGGGCTACATAATAGCAGGGATGAAGGATGTGAGGGAGGCCCAGATTGGCGACACACTCTACCTCCAGGAGCAGCCGGTGGAAGCTCTGCCAGGCTTTAAACCTGCCAAAGCCATGGTCTTTGCTGGTAAGAGGTTTTCTCCTCTATAGCTGCTTCTTGCTGTCAAATAAATATCTCTGAAAATTTGTAATAACAACTGGAACTTAGGACACTATTGAAAAAAAAATGTATTGACATAATTGATCAGTACATGAGGCTGTCTTTAAATATCCCTGTATCATTGGGCATGTAGTCAAACATAAAACCCCTTCAGTGCATGTTGTGTCCCTTCAGCTGGTACAGTAAGTGCACTCAGCACTTTCCACAATAAATGAAAAGAGTCCTTTTTGCTGATGATGTGCACTCTGTCTCTTGTTTTCTGTCCCTCAGGCATGTATCCAATGGACCAGTCAGAATACCCAGGCCTTCGAAGCGCCATTGAGAGGCTGACCCTAAATGACTCAAGTGTCACAGTGCAGAGAGACAGCAGTTTGGCCCTGGGAGCAGGCTGGAGGTGAGGACGACTCTTCTGAATGAGAATGAAGAATGGCTTTTCATAACACAACAGAGGAGTGGGTCACTACATATAATGTGACAACGAATGAAAACAAAATTGTGGACGCCAAGCAGTGCGACCATGAAAGTTTTGACCCCGTCAGGAGTTGAAAAAGTTTGGACATTTTTCAAGTAATTTGCTGTCGCAGAAAAGTTAAGCGCTTTCGCTTAAAAAGACACTATAATCAAAGGAAGTAGCAAGATTACCTTATTTCATGAGTCCCTACACACATTTGGACATCATATGGTACAATAAATAAGGGAATACACAACTTAATTTGGGACATACTGTACATTGCCAAACTAGTCAGCCAAGTGAGTTTATTTAATGTTGCAGGTCATATCAGTCCAGACGAAGAATTTGAATTTAATGGCATTAGTGGTTTTGATTTAAATCATTCTGAGGTATGAAGCTGCGCTGGAATAGCAGTAAGCCTTGCTCACTGTTGAACTCTTTCCAAATAGGCTCTTTGAAATTAAAAGCATGGATATCAATTCTATAACTTGAATGAACCTGTGCACCTTTCTGTGCCCCTGCAGACTTGGTTTCCTGGGTCTTCTCCACATGGAGGTGTTCAATCAGAGGCTGGAGCAGGAATACAATGCCTCCGTTATAGTAACAGCACCCACTGTTCCCTACAAGGCTATCCTCACCTCACCCAAACTCATCAAGGTAAGAGCCACTTCCTGCTTGTATATTTTCTGCTCTTACAGTAGAGGTGGGCTCCACAAGATTGGCCTCACACACACACTCCTCCATCCAGACAGACAACTGTCTGCTGAGTGATAATGTGTGAGCAGGCGAAGCGTGTTTCTCATCTGCAGGGCTTCAGACAACTACTGTTCAGTCGCATTTTGCGACCATGGAGCACCAGTGTGACTTGCAAATATTAATAATATATGATCTGGAAAGCTGTTCATCTCCAGCTTAAGTGAATAAATCATTAAGTTTAACTGCGCCACGGTAGTTTAACTTAATGAGCGTAATGATAGTGTGAGCAGACAAAACGTGTGATTTTGTATTAATAGGGTTCTAGACTGCAACAATTTTTTGCTACCATGAAGTACCAGTACGACTTGCAGTTACTTTTAGTGTATGGACTTGAGGGCTGTTAGTGTGTTTCCACCTTATAGTGAATAAATGGTCACGTTTAAAGGCACTTCCTGCCAAGGCAACCCGGCTGCTTCAAATAAAAACAACAATGATTCCGCTTGAACTTATTTAGTCATAACAATATTTTGTTTAACTAATTATAACAGCAACTACTTTATTTAACTTTAATATAAATTTAGTTTATTTAACAATGTTGTGTTTTAGTGGTCTACAGTAGTTGAGAGGAGAATTCAAAATTGTCAAGATATGTTTTGTGTTTCACCTTATAGCCCAAAAATATCGTGATATTATTTTTAAGCCATATTGTCCAGCCCTATACAAGGGCAGTTAGTACACAATTATTTAGGGACCAGTCACGTTTCCTTTCTCATGGTTCAAGATACAGGGACCAATCACAAGTACAGTTACATCTGATTTAGACCCACAATATGGAGCTTTACAGAACACCGTCTGAGGCCAGCATTGATTCACTATTACAGCCATACACTAGATGGCAAACAGGAGACATCTGAATAAACTCCATTCATTTTCAGCTCAATTCAATTTTAATCAGTCTCTTTTATTTGTGAATCACTATTATTATATTCAGTAGAAAATCCAAGCCAGGCCTGTTTTTCTCCTGAATATAGTCACTGTGCTTCACAAATAAAAGAGACATTCAAGAGACACTGGCATGTGCCTCGAGCGGAACAAGCTTTTAACGACGTCTGTAAATCCCCACCTCTTTGATTGTTCAGGAGAGCACCCAGAATTAAAAACACTGTCATGACTCAAAACAAGACCACATGGCTGACAACAGCTGGCATGTATAGATGTGGTAACTGTGCCTGCTGCAACAATATGACAAATACAAATCATTTAATCATCCCCACGCTGGGAGGAATATTCCCATTTAGGAATTTATCAGCTACATGTCGACCTAATTTGATTTACCTGTTACTGTGTCCTTGTGGTGTAGCATAAGTTGGACAAACCAATTGACACCTTCCGCAACAGATATCAGAGCACAGAACTACAGTCCGTACAGGAAATATAGATGATGTAATTCCAAAACATTATTCTGAAGCAAATCACGGTTCACCCTCTTCATTATAGTGCTGTGGGATTGAGAAAGTCATAATGCCTATTAGAGGAGGATATGAAAGTGGCCCAGAGAGAAATGTTTTGGATATTCTGTACACTCTCAACACCATGACACCAAATGGACCTAATGATGACTTCTGATTAAAATGCTCACAAAGTCACGACTGTCAGTTTTGGAAACCCGCTAACTTAGAATGTGACCACTAAATGATGCAGGTTCATCCTTTAAGATCATCCTATACTGGAAAATGAATGGTCTATTTAAATGTCACTTTATTGCCATCTAGTGTACAGTTTGAATAGTGAATCAGTGATAGCCACAAACAGTGCTCTGTGAAGCTTCATGTTGTATGTAATGGTATCTAGAACCACAGAAAAATAAATGTGATTGGTCCCTAAATTATTGGGTCTAACTCCCAGCTGTGTATTGACCCTGCCTTTGTACATACTGTATTACTGAACTGAATCTGTCTACCTAAAGCGCTCTCATGACGGCTCTGTGCTAAAATGTGTATGCATATACCTGTTGTGATGTGAGCCAATTTAACAGGTGAAATGTTTCCTCCTTTACTTTGAAATTTGGGATGTGCTCCCTTTTCACATTTTTTTGAATATTCTCAAAGTTTTAACTTTCATGGAAGTTAATAATAAATAGAGGCTCTGCTGGTATTGATGGCACATTGCAGTAAAATTACTTACGGGAGATACGCACTGTAAGGGGAAATGTTTGAGAGGATAAATAACATCTTCAGCTGCAAAGGCAAAATCACAGCTGGTTTGAAATCATGATGTATGTAAGTTAAGTTTCCTTGGAAACAACACTTTCTCATCCCATTGGCAGCAACTTGGAGTATGCAAAGACTGTAAATGATAACTTAAGACAGTTTACACTTATGGAACGATTATAAAGGTATAAGGTCTAAAGGTAACTTTTTACAGCCTTATTTCAAGCCCGTAGGTGTGAGTGATTTTTATTGTAGATGGATGTTTACATTAGAACCATTAAAGCTTCTGGAAAGACCTTAACCAGTTTTATTTGGAGGTTAAAATCTCGTTGGCTGTCCTTGCAGGAACACGGCAGTGAGGAAATAACCATTGTGAACCCCGCTGAGTTCCCAGACAGATCAGTTGTGTCAGAGTATTTGGAGCCAATGGTGCTGGGGACCATCCTCGCTCCAGACACTTACACCGGCAAGATCATGACACTCTGCCTGGTAAGAGGAAATTCTGAAGTGCAAATGAAATGATTGAAAGACAGTGGTCTGTGCTATTTAACCTGAATGTGTTCTTTATGATCTAAATAGGGTTCATTTTATTTACCTCTAACACATAAATCTGTCTTTTAAACATCCTATGTCAAGTGTAGACTTTTTTCTTTTTGAATACTCACATGGGGAGTCAGCCTTCTGATTCTCAAACCTCTTGGAAAATGCAGTTTGGCAGGAGATATTGGAGTACATCCTCAGTTTTTACTCTTTCCAAATTGGTCAGGAGCCAAAGACAAAACAATACTTGAATAAAGGGAGCCAAGAAATGTTAGAAAATGTGTTTATATTACTGATGACACTTCATGTTAAGGGATTTTCCACATTGTGATATGTGTGTCCACATCAGTCTTTGGATTTTTGAGATTGTAAAATGATGCAAAAAATGATCTCATGTTGTTTTGTTCTTTAAGAATCGCAGAGGGGTCCAGAAGAACATGGTGTACATAGACGACCAGCGTGTGATGATGAAGTATCTCTTCCCTTTAAATGAGATCGTTGTGGATTTCTATGACCTTCTCAAATCAATGTCCTCTGGATATGCCAGGTAAAACACAGCAAGTACTACACATATAAACACATTTAGTACACCGTCAGTGAAAAACACTTAAAGGTCCAGTGTGTAGGATTTAGGGGGATATATTGGCAGAAATGGACTTTAATGTAATGTATGTTTTCTTTATTTTGAAATCACCTGAAAGTAAGAATCGTTGTGTTTTCGTTATTTTAGAATGAGCTGTTTATATCTACACATGGAGCGGGTCCTCTTCCATGGAGTCCGCCTTGTTGCACCACCATGTTTCTACAGTAGCCCAGATTGGACAAAACAAACACTGGCTTTAGCGAGGACTGATTGCGTTTTTGCAGTTCTGCTTTGGCCACCATAGTCAGCAGCCCGTCGTCAACAAGCAGCATCGAAAACATGTGAAACTGCTTTACTCAGTATTTTTACAGGCATAAATCACCTGGTCTGTTTGTTTTGGAGAGGAAGAGACCACTGCTGATAATTTCTCTCCTGGTAGAAACCTCCTGAACAGTGAACACAGGAGGAATTATAACTGGGGAAAACTTTTAGGTGGTTGCTATGTGCAGTCCACACTGTTTGATGCCACTAAATCCCCTTAAATCTTACACACTGCTCCTTTGAAAACAACAACTCTTCAGCATATTTGCTTTATTCACATAGTAGTACATGAGATGGACAATCTCTGAAAATAATCATGTCCCTCCTCTTGTTGTAGTACATCTAATGGCATTTGCAAGAATACAGTGTGCCTGAACAAAAACAACCAATCAGCTACAGCTGAACTTACAGTACACTAGTTTAATAGTTTGAACGATTGACATGATTGACAGCTGCATCAGAGACTCCTTGGCTTTGATTGGTTGTTTTGTTCAGGGGCGTAGGATTCTTGCAAAGACCATTAGGACTACTACAAGGAGGCAGAGGAATATGATTTATGTGTCTTTAGAGTTTATGTGTTTCATGTAATACTGTGTGGATATAGTGAGAGTTTCAGCAAATATGACAAAAAGTTATTTTCATAAAAGTTACCAACTGTAGCTTAGATATGCATTGTGGAGCTTGTGTTTACTTAGGTGGTGGAAAGGTATCTATTTGCAGTCTTGAAATGCTAGTGTATGCAATTCCCAGAGATTATATTTTCATAGCTTTATAGTCAATTTGAAACTGTAGATGTCAGATGAATTCAGATCAAAGGATAAATTACATTCTTGGGGAAAAAAAATGTCAATGAACCCAGTAAATAAAAACACTCACAAACCAAGAACTCTTTTGCCTTCAGTTATTTCCCTCTCCTGTGCATCTGTCTTTGAGTCTTACATCTAACAAGGTTGGATAAAGGTCTTTGCTGAAATACTGTATCAGTGTTGTCTGACTCTAAAAGCCTTCTGTGATTTTATCTCCTGCAGCTTTGACTATGAGAACGCAGGCTACGAGGCTGCTGATTTGATAAAGATGAATTTTCTGCTTAATGGGCAACCTGTGGAAGAACTCACCACTATTGTACACAGGTACTGCATGTTTCACATACAGACTCATTTCAGATGCTCTTAAGTTGTTCAATTTTCCCCAAAATATTTTGGGTAAGCAGTCCCTGTCTTGTCACAGGAGGTGCAACTCTGACGCTGCTTGAAAGAATCTTATAATTTTCTCTGTCACAGCAGCCTCCCGTGGCTTCATTATTATTGCTGGCAGATTTTTATGAGTTTACATAATTTCAAGGTTATAGGGTCCTTCATTACTATAGTAATTCTTCTGATCCTGTGGAGCATGAAATGAATTCAACACACAGGATAACATTAAAATAATGGCCTCTTGGCAGCCATCATCTGTAACAATGACTTTACACACTGGAGAGGGACTTCATTCCATTTGTGACGAGGACAATAGAGTAACGTCACAGGTGAAAAGTGATGACGCACAGCAGATCTATATTTAATGTGATTACTACCAAAGCCAGTTCAGACTTTGGTAATTAAAGGGCGCTAGGCTTTTCCAATGATGGACACACTCTGACCATTTATACTGTAAGCCTCGGAGCCAGGCCAGGCACAGCTTTATTGCCTCAGTCTTTAAGTGCAATGCACCAATCACAGAGCAGAATATCATTATGTTACAGAGCAGCTGAAGCAGAGAAGCCATTTACATGTGTTTGAGCCTGTTTATATATGGTGTTAACATGCAGCTTGGGTGATCTGATCATGAGTGGACGGCGCTAAATGCAGGTGTAAACAACCACCAAGATGCAGTGTGATCTGATCACTCAAACCACCTGCAGAGATAGTCTGGGACGCAGTTGATGACATTTTCTGTAGTGTCAACGCCAACTAGTTAGCCCGTTGATCAGCATAGTAAATGGCATTATACTCACTATAGAGAGTCACACAACTCCATATGGTTGCTGATTAGTATTTATAAAATGGGGTGACCTTCATCATAAATAGATACCGTTAATATATCACCCTTTAGTCTGCATTTGCCATTGATCCTACCTTATCTACCTGGCATCAGAACAGAATTAAATCCCTCCTCTTGCTTGATTTGATTGGCTGTCTGAGCCAAGCGTGATAGTGAGGAGTAGAGTGATTCAAAAACCTTGCACTGCAAAGTTAAGAATATTTTAACTTTTATGCACATCTAAAAACCACTAGATAAAACATGGCTAGTAATGGTTTCGCAGGTGACGTGTTTGTAGCGACACCTCTCAGTGTGATCAGGACCTAATTGAAACCTTTTATTTTGTTTATTTATTTCCAACACAAACAGGAATGTAAAAAGGAAAAGTTGTGGTTTTCTGTGTTCAGCAAGATGGCTATTTTTATTTTTGAACTTTGGACAGAGCCAGGCTAGCTGATGAGCCACCTGCATTTGTTGGGGATGACACATTGACACAATGCTGTAGAGCAGAGCAGTTGTGTTTCACAGTTGCTTGGTTCTGATTGGTGGGTTTTCATTCCAGAGACCGTGCGTACAGCACAGGTAAGGCCATGTGTGAGCGACTCCAAGACTCCATACCAAGGCAGATGTTTGAGATCGCTGTACAGGCATCTATTGGAACTAAGGTCATTGCACGGGAAACGTAAGTACAACATCAGCAGTGAGCTAAATGCTTTTTCAAACTGGTATGTGAAGCAGAACAAAGCGTACATATAAAGCACTTTGAATTTTATTTGTGTAGGAGATGTGTTGAATAGATGTAACTTGGCTTAAAAATGTGACGTGACAATGTTTGCTTCTTTCAGAATTAAGGCGTACAGAAAGAATGTTCTTGCTAAATGTGTAAGTAAAGGTTCTTGTTAACTTTTAAAAGTTTCCGAGTCTACAAATGAACCACAAACATTATGAATTCTACACATTTTTTGTCTTGGTAGTATGGAGGGGACATAACACGGAAGATGAAGCTACTGAAGAAACAGGCAGAGGGTAAAAAGAAGATGCGGCGTATCGGCAGTGTGGAAGTTCCCAAAGACGCCTTCATTAGTGTTCTGAAGAGGAAAGAGAAATAGACTGCAATAATATTAGTATATTAATGTAATTATCATATGCAACAGGTCTTTATTATTGAAAAGTCCTGCTTTATTTTTCTCTGAATAAAATGGCCATTAATGCTGCAAACTGTTGTACCTGTGATCTGTGACTTTCAAAATATTGCTCTCATTTATCCCCAAAACTCCAAATGCTTTATTCACACTTCTTTTTGTGACGGTGATATCCAATCATATGATGACACAATTGGCTTTTTAAGATACTGAACAGAAGTATGCTGAGCTTCATTTTATATTCAGAGAGTATAATACATCATTCTTGATTGAGTGTGTCACTGTTTTAGTGTGGAAACTCCTTTGATATCAGTTCATCAGTCAGTACACAAATTAACTGATAAATACCATTTAGGTCATTTCTTCTCTGACTGTCAGACAAAATAAGCAAGTTTGAACATTTTATAGACAGGATGATTAAGTAGCCAAACGTAACTGATAAATTAAAAAGCATTGATCAGCCCTGTATTCAGTAAAACTTTGTATCTTTGGAAACATTTCACATTTACAACTCTAAATATGCTGATGTGATAATGGAGGTTCTGGACATTGCAGACTGATTAAAAGGAGAGGGGCAGGGACAAAGATATGGGGCTGGAGTTCCTGAGTCTTCAGATCGGTCTTTGAAATAGTCTTTGAGAGTCATCAGTTTGTGTCAGTGTTCCAGAATATTGAAACTTTGAGTGAATTGTTTGACAATATTCCTACGCACGCTTGCAGCTGCACGGGCGCAGGAAACCAGACTGTGGTCATAAACATAACACTTGATCCCAACCAGCTCTTCACTGGTTGATGATTTGTGATGGAAAATGGAATTGTTATCACACTAGAAAATGCATTCCCTGTAGAAAATGCAGTGTGAATGCCGACAGCTGAAATGTATTTCAGAGCATTGCTGGAAATGCACTGCACTGCAGTAGTCTGGAGTTGAACCTTTAACCTTTAACCAAGTTGTATGGTTACTGAACTGCACAGTGTAACAAGCTGAAACCTCCTGTCTGCTGTGCAGTAACAACTGCTGCTGCAGCTGTGTAACTTCTGTCTTCCTTGGTGAATTGTCAGGACCTGGTAGAAAACTTCGCTCCACAGATCAGGGAATTGAACCCAGGTTATTGTGCAACAGGTGGAGATGCTATCTGCTCTGCCTCTTAACGTGGCAGAGCTGTGATCCAATGCACCATTGAAATAGTAAAGACTATAGTAAATCGGATTTCACCCTAAAACGTGATGGGTAATGCTGTTGTGAGTTGCACTGGACCACAATTAGCTATGGCACTTCAGGAGCCTCGTAATACCCAGAGCTGCTAGTTGTGGTGTCTGTGGCCCCCAAGCCAAAATTGTTAAACTCAAACCAAGTTAGTGTGAAGAAATATCTATGGGTAATGCAGTGCATTACTATAAAACCAGTTAAAGAAATTGTGAAACTGTTGTTCAAGATCTTGGATATTAGATAGGAGCGATTCATCTTACTGTTCACTGTATAATCACATCACAAACAAATTTCTTTAAGTTTCAACCAGTCACTTTTAGACTGTTCAAAATCTGCCTGAATCCTCCGAGCGTGTCGCAACTCCACACTCTGTGTTTATAAGTTTATAATTTCTCAGAGCACAGACAAAGATTCAGATTAATTCAGGTGAGTCATCACGCCTCAGGCTGAGACAAGGACACACCCGACCCAGATGGCGCCTTTTCTTCTTTAGTTTGATTCCTGGCTGCGTGTTGTGCTCACTAAAGTTAAAGTCCTTAAAATCATCTATGTTGTCACTGTTATATCTGAATGTCTGAAGTGAACTTTACAGAAATAAATAGGGGAAAAAAGCGGGAAGAAAGAGTAGTTACTAAATAACATGAACTACATTAGTCATCATTTATGTCTCAGGTCATTATTTTCACGAAGGTGATGCTATTAACACACTTACAAACTTGAGGTTATCTTTATAAATCTTCAGAAACAGTCAAACAACACTTGCACAACAGGGCATAAAACTGTACATGTTGCATGAAGACTCACAGATTTTCATTAACTCCGCAGTGTATTCACTCACACTCCAGCAGACTAAAGGTGCTGCTGCAGGCTGTAACATTAAGAAACTACAGACAGTCTTGCAATGCAATGACTCCAGTGATACAGTGATCTGCGACTTAAAGCAAATGTTGGCCAGGGGAGTAAAGTGGGTGGGGGGCAATGGACCCGTACCCACTTCCTGCTCTCTGACTTGCGGCGCTGGTTATGATTCTAAAATATAAAGAATGATAGAGGGCTTAAACTGCTTGCGTGAGAAAGCAGGAGTACAATCAGAACAGGTTGTGCAGGTCTATGAACTTAAGTGCTAGTTGAGGCAATGGAAGTGGATGCCTGCCAGCACACTACAGGCCACAAATGTATCCTGATTTCAAATGTGTCTCACTGTAAGTGACACTTTGAATGCACTCTTTGTAAATGTAAATTAATAAATTAAAATTAAAATTAACCTTAATTTCTATTCTAATCCACAAAGACATATTTAATCCCGAAGACCAGAAGAGACTGAGAACAGCTCATTTGAGTATTAAAAAGCAACAACACTCTGTGGATCCACAAAATCAGTTTCCCATTCATTGTCTTTGGAGCAGCTCCAGACTTTATATTTGATGACATGGAAAGTTTGAGACTTACTTATTTGGTGTCTGGCTTTGAGAGAGAGAAGCTCATGTTCACAGATATTGTGTGTGCTTCAGTGAGCTGTCTCTCCACCTATTTTCCACATGGCTCTGTACGTGAGTCAGCTGAAATTCAGTTAATTCCTACAACAACCTCCATGATCTCTATTATGTTTTCGCAACACACCCTCTGTTTTTTTTCAGTCGAGAATCGCTTCAAGTACACTGAAAAAAATTGGACTTCTGCAGCAGATTCTGAACACAGGAAGTTATCAAATGAATTTGCTACCAGACTGATCAATGCACAGCTCTATTTATACATTTTTTTCTACATGAAAAAGTTTGACGGCATGTTTTGCCAACTAACATTGGTAACATGCTAGCTGTGTAACATAAATGGTGAAATATACGTCCTTGTCAATGTTTACCTTGATATAAGGTTAAAAACATGTCTAAGGTGATGTTAAAATTAAAACATCCTTACGGGTTATGAATAGAGGATTTGATGTTCCCTTATCATGCAGACTGCAAGATTATATTGACCACCATTACTTACTACATGACATGCAATCCTCTGTTTGCATGCTTATATGCAAATATGACTTGTAGCTTTTCCACATTAGTATCACTGCTAGAATGAAAGGGGGCTTACATCAAGGGAAAAGCAAGAAAGAGTTAACTTTAGCATTATCATTTTGGCATTTTAAAGGAAGAACAGAAAGAAGGGTGGAGACTTGGAAAGAGGGCGTGTCAGCCTCTATTTAAAATGATTTGTTTCTGTGCTCTCTGCTCACATTCCTCCAACAATCTCGATCTCTCAACCTACACTTTATCATACTATTCTGGTGAGTGGAAATATATTTTCATAATCTCTTTTGCATTAACCATATAGTTTATTTCACTGATACTGGCATGAGATGCATGAGTGAGTATTTGGGTGAGGTTTGTTTGTGTGCTGATGGAACATGTTGCTGCCAACTGTCAGTGGCTCCAGTGGGGTGAGTCTTTTTAAACTGTGAGACTGATTAACTACGAATGGTGTACCTAATGGTATGCCCTGTGCAGCGCCATGCACAGACATTTCGGGGGACAGGTGCTGAAGCAAAAAAAGGGCACCACTCACTGAAGCTCACATACAGCTCTATTACTTACTTACATATTTATTTATTTACTTCAGTATTCTTACACTCATTTATAATTTATTCATTATTCGTAAATGCCTATCGTATTCAGATCGGAATTGCTGGAGCTGATCCCAGCTGATTTTGGGCGGATACATACCAGACTGTCACAGGGCTGAGACAGGAAGCCGGAGCACCTGGAGAAAACCCACACTAACACGGGAAAACAAAAGGTTCGTACCTAAGACCAGGAAACCTCTTGCTATGAGGCAACAGTGTTAACCACTGCACTACTGTGCCACTCATACACGTATGCAGATACAGTTTAACACTGCAAAATAATCAATTCACACAGAGATGATGGTCTTTAGCATTCACTATCTATCATAAGAATAGGCAACAACAAAGGAAACTATGCCATATTGTGCATGATTTAGCCGTCTATAAAACAATTAAAGATTAAAAATCAACAAATCTTTACACAAAATGAGAAAAGGCCGGTTCTCTGAAGAAATAAAATAATAAACCAACCAATCTGCCCAACAAACCACATAGTAGGCCTATGTTCACTCGCAACAATTGGGCTAAATGCGTCCTGCTCTCCTCTCTACACATTACACCAGGAGTGTCCCAGGGACACCTCCCCAGGCTGTTATTCTCAGATCCACCCACAGCTGCTCTGCAATGGTAAAATGTAACTAGATACAGTTACTTAGGTACTGTACTTATGTACAAAATAGGTACATGTACTTTGTGTATTTCCATTTTATGCTACTTTATATTTCTACTTCACTAAATCTTAGTGGTGAATATTGAACTTTTTACTCCACTACATTTAACAGAGAACTTTGGTGTTTTCTTTATAGATTCAATTTAATAAAATAAAGAATATTTGACAAATATAGCCCAACATTTACAGGGGGCAAAACACTACATGTAAACAAATGGTGTAAATACATATTTAGATTAACTTAATTTACTTTGCACTATGTTATGTTAACTTGCACCAACAGTGTGCTGGGGTTTTTTTTTTCAGTCCATTAATCTATGAAATTTTAAACAGTTTGCAAATTTCAGATTGATTTATGGTTAACTAAATTATCATATTTTACATCTAAAACCAGGGGTGGGGGTGCCCTTTTTTCAGGTTAGAGCAACAGCCCCTCAAATTGTCTGTGCACATCCCTGCTGTGTGGGCTTCATCTAAATAGGACATGTCAATCTGTGAGCTTTAACAATAATGGGTGGCATGGTGGAGCAGTGGTTAGCACTGTAACCTCACAGAAAGAGGGTTCTGGGTTTGAACTGAGGT